CCCCCAAAACCCCAAAACCCCAAAACCCCATGCAATTAATTCTTTGAAACAAAAAGGGATACAATTAATTTTAATCCAAAAAGGAATACAAGAATTATGAAATTTGGTTTGAGTTAAAATGGTATGTTTGTGATTTTCCAGAATTATAATGCATGAAGAGTTTCATACATTTATCAATCTTATTCACTAAGGTCTTGGTCCTACTTAATTTGGCTGCTACTACTGCTAGATATTTATATACATTGGCTGACCTAGCTAGCCTCCTACAGCTTGATGCATTCCTGGCTGCAATCCTAATCCCTGAATCATTGGATAGCCTTAAAATCCTGGAGGTAACTGTCCTTGAATTATTCCACCAGGCTAGATAATCTACTGCTATAAGCCCCCAACATTGATTCCAGGAGGTAATAACTGGCCTCCTTGAATAATCTGAGCACCTGGAGGTGCCATAGTCATTGGCGCATATGCATATTATTAGTTTGGAACTAATTAAATCATTCTCTAATTATAGTATAGTTAGTCGTGAGGGTAACTTACCTAAACTTACTACGGATTCTACTAGTAAATCAATGTTTGTTGGGGGTACATTTATTAGCCCTATAAAGGATTACCTTAAATACCAAGGGGTGCTTGAATAACACTCACTGAGCCTGGTGGATGTCCTTACTGTTGAAGAATTTGCTAGATCTATTATTGTGTAAGCTATTATTATGGATTTTATATCAGAGTTGGCTGTTGCTATAACTAAATCTATTGAGGAATTTGTTGCAAAATATGCTATTAAATCTGTTAATGTTATTGTTAGTGTTGCTATTAGTGCTATTATTGTTACTGCTACTACTATTGCTATTGCTATTACTGTTGTTATTGTTAATGCTATTATTAGTGTTAAGCCTGAATTTACTGTTGAATTTACACTGACTATTATGTTTATTAAGTATGAGTAACAGACTAACTAGTTAAGTCATTAATACCCTAAGTGTGAGTGGATTTTTGAGTCTAAGGTATAATCTATTACTGAATAGACTGAGGGTCAAGCTTTTAAATGACTTAAATTCCTCCTTAAGTCTGAATTTAAGGTTATTATGACATTTGCTGAGGAAGATTTTAGATAACAACAACCGGTTGCATTCCATTATTTTAAGGTATTTGTTGTTAGATTTAAGTAGGAATAAAGCCCTAAACTTGATTGGTAGCTGCATATTAAGGTATGGCTCTTTGCATCTACTATTATTGAATTATCAATTTCTAGTCTACAGGTATTTGCTGCTAATAAATGACATTAGGTGTTGATTGTTAGATCTTAATCTAGTCAAGATTCTAAATTTGATTAGATTACTGCTAGTTTTGTTGCAAATTTTGGAGATTTTAGGATGACTACATACTATTAAATCTAGCTAGATTGTTCAAATGCTCCTCATCATAAGGCTCATCTCTCTCTTTTCTTTTGCCTAACATTGCTCCAATGTTATTTTGATCCATATCTATTGACACAGCAGCCTTCATAGCTTCAAGATTTTCAAGAGGTATAAAAAACCCTGGAATTTAGTCTCTCTCAGTAGTCACTTGAATAGTTTACCCATTCATTAATTCCAAATTATTCTCAATTAATCTCTTTTTAAATTCATCATTTAACCTTAACTCGTCAATAGGTCCGTCTAATTACTCAATTTTACCCCCTCTTATTTAGGAATCTTCATCTTACTTATGCTCTTCATTGAGGAATAGCTGGCTAATGTTCTTTTTGTCTTCAATATTGATAAAGCAAATGAACTTAACATTCACATTCAAACCTGGATTGATAGGATCTTAGTATTAACTGCCGTTAGGACCCTAAACTGCCAATTAACCAAAAGAAAATTCTTGTTAAAGGTCTCTATGAAGGCGAGTAGTGATAGACCTTGGATCAGGTTCTGCAACTTTTCGAGGGTTGTAATAGATCTTAACAGCTTCATTGAACTTAAGTGCGAGGAATATTGGATGTCTGATCTTATTTCTAATGTTTGGAGCAGAAAAGTAATTGATTAAGCCAACGACATCAGATGTTATTTTCTCTTCATTACTTAAATACTGCTATTACTAGCTCATGAGATTGTTCATTTGTTGGCTCTAAACACCTTAATTCAAAGTTAAAGTTTAATTATTCAAGTTGAGAACATTCTAGACTCGATGAATCTTAGATGATCTGATGTATAGGTCCTGTTCTATTGATTGAATGTCGAATGGTTCAATAACGGTGTGATATTTCTTAAACGGAATTAACGTAAAAATAACGTACTTTTGAAGAAGATTCTTTTGCTAGTTTCCTTGAATTTATGTATAGGGGAGGAGAAATTTTGGTAATTAGTACCCTTGGTTGCCCTGGTAAAGGTAAATCTATAGATAAATAGGTAAACAAGGTTATATTACCATTTTATTAACTAATTCTAGGCAGCTGCTGTGACCTATTTTGCTCAGAGACTGGAGTTTCTTGTGGGTTTGGCTCATCCAGTTTTCTAATTTCTAATTATTCTTCTTATTATGATTAATCACCGGCCGCCGAACTTAATTTATTTGCTCCCATTTACTATTATTATTAGGTTTGATTTTTATGGTATTCATTGATGCTTCCATAGTAGATTGTAATTATCAAAAAGAAAGGTGCCCCTTCGTGGTTATAGCTAGTAGTCTTAAACTTAAGTCCAGAAAATATAGCGTAGCTATTGACTAGTATTTTTTCTTCATTGCCTTTAAGACCTACATCTACTAAAATACTTTCTGTTTGTTAGATGAACTATGAGGCGCCACTTAATGGTATAGTAGTGTCTTTTTTTGCCGCAAATATTTTCGCCTTTATAAATCAAAATTATGTGGATTCTTACATAAAGATTAGGGGGAGGGAGGAGTGCTTCACCTGACTCACGATCTTTTAACTAAGGGAATTATATAAACTACGTGTAAATTTGCATACATCAAGGGAGATCGAAATATTAGGTAGGTTCCAAGATTTATGCCAGGTCCACTAGCTGCCCTCATCTACCAAAAAGTTCCTCTCCATTTCAATAGATAGTTCTACTTCTGGCTCTTCCTCCTAAATTTTGAGTTTAAGTAATTGATCATTAAAGGAGGCAAAAATTATTATTGAGTATAAAGTATGGAACTTACCCCATTTCTCAAGGGATTGGTGAGAACAATAGAGGGATCAAAATCAAATAGAGTATATTATTTTTCTTCCTCTGGATTTCTGAATACCTATTACAATCCACTCCCTCTATTATTTTCCTCATCTTGGGCACCTGGTTGATCATAGAGATTATTGGTCTTTATACGGGCTCTACAGTCAGCCCATTCCCATTTCTTGGGTATGGCACTCATATATGAACTTCTGAATAAGTTTTAATGAATTTAAATATTATATATACTAATCTTGGATCCCTTGGGTTAGCGGCTTTTAGTTCGTATTTTACATTTCAACTTGAAATTAATACTCAATGTTAGAAATAATAAGATCTATTCGATTGTGATATAACCCTTAATTTTAAATACAATCTTTAATCGAACTACAAAGTCCGCTATATTATTATCTTTTTTTCAACTTTAATGGAAAGCTTTAAAAAATAAGTATAAAATCTTTAAGGACCTTCATCACAACCTCGTATTTCTAGCGTTTTTGGCAAGGCTTAGAGTGGAAACTTGGGTGGCTAGGAGGCTCTAATTATGAACTAAGGAAGCTGAGCTGCAAACAGAATCAGTGTTATCGAAAAAGTGGAGATGTAAAATCCTTATATAAGGTAGTTTGGAAAGAAAAACTTCCAGGTACAATCTTACCTCGATGAGGTGTTATCGAAAAACGATACTTAAATGATCAAGCAAGAGTATAAAGGCCTAAAAAAATCTCATCAATCTTTACAGAGAGAAATTGGTAACTTTCTTTTTCACTAGTATCATACTTTTCTTGAGACATCTGACAAACTAGAGACAGTGAAGTATCAAATTGATGATGCCAAAGCTATATTGGCATAATTCCAATTAGTGATAAATTCTTTAAGAGGATAAATGGATCGTTTAGATTAAACATCAACCTAGTGGGACAAAATAATGGAGAGTCATCAAAAAAATGAGGATAAAATGAATAGCTTTAAATAAAAGCAATAAGATGATATATTTGATGGGGCGAGCAAACATGAGACTGAGATGTAATACCTTCAAGAATAATTAGAAGTTATTGAGCAATAAATACATCTTAATAAGTTTGAAGAATCAATAAGCACCCTAAATGATTTGAATAATCATCTGGATTAATTAGGTGATTTTGACTATGAATAACTAGTATTGATAAGAGCATCGTCAGATCAGCTCAGAAATAATCTGGATTCCTTGCTTTAAAAGCAGATATCTCTTCACATGAAATCAAATGATCTAAGCACATCTTTGTCTCTTTAAAATATATTTGGAGCAGTTTAATCTTATCTAAATTACTAATAGAAATTAATTTAAGGTAAACTAAAGAAGATTGAGCCGATTGTTTTTCAAGTTATGACTATGCAATAATGCTAGACTCAGTCATAGAGACTATAATAATCAGTTAGTGTGTTCGTAGACTTTATCAATAATTTAGTAAAAGATTTCCAAAATAAATTTATTGATGGGAAAGATATATCAAGAATAATGTGTCAGGATGATATCAATACTGCGAAATCCTATTTCGCTCAGTGGTTAAAATAGCAGACTGAGACTTCACTATGTCTCCATATATCTCTATATTTATAGAACGAATTGGTACAGCATTAACTTGGTGAAAATTTGAAACAGATAGTTAGATTGGTCAAAGCACTTTAAGGCACAAATGTAAATATTTGCCATGTTCTCGAAAGATCTATCGCTCCAATGGTATTAAATTCAATAGATAGACTCTTAAATGAAAGAATAAATAATTAAACCTAGGAAAAAGGACTTAAAAAGCACAATTCGGTTAAAACTTCTCTTGAAACTCTTTTTATTGTCGATTACTATCAACTAAAGAACATTGCAGAGTTGGAAGAAGAGAAAAAGTAAGATAACTTTGAATCAATAATCTCTATGCAATCGATGCGAAAACACTTTTTCAGAAAAATGTTGAAATTTCTAGATAAAAACATTATTTAGAATATGGATTTAAAGCTTTATCAGTATATTTCAGTTCAGATATCCAATTTCATGATTATTAGATTCATTTAAAAGCTAGACTCAATTGTTCAAAGAGAAGAGATCTTATTGCAAGCTTAGACTTAGAAAACAGATTAAATGTCAAGATATCTCATTAATGAGTTTTCGAGCGTTCAAGTGATTAGACTGCTCCAAATCTATTTTCTAAAATAGGATTTTCAAATAGTAAAACCGATTAAAGAAAAACTAGAGAAGAGTTTGACTGAAATGAGGCAGTTTTATACCAATCGCTTTAAGAAGTTATTTTACAAAGATTTACTTATCAAACTTTTGCAGTGTATTCTAAAAGATAACGATTATGAGAAGCAGTTTTTTAGTGATGAAACTGTTGATTATACAACAATCAATCCAGCCTAATGCTTCATTTAAGTTTCGAAGTATCTAAATGAAATAAAGATCAAGATTGAAAAAGATTTAAAGCTAGATGATGAAAGTGAAGTGTTTCATGCCAAGATTGTATTCAAAGAGCATTTGGTCATGTTCATGCTTGCAACAACACTTGAGTTATTCAAGGACTTACTATTAATGCAATTATAAGAGCTGGAGACTAAATACTCTGATTATAAGGAATATATAAATAAATTAGTTGTTGAAAAGAAGCTCTAAGCCAGATTTGTTCTGAATAGTGGAACATAGCAGTTGATGTTTGGAATTTGGTATCTTATACTAACTATGACCAGCAAGATTAAAACAAAGGAGGTCAAGGGAAGTAGTGAGAGTCAAAGAGTAACTTAATCTTTGCAATAACTGACTCAAGACATTTAAAATAGTAGGAAGTCAATACAAAGCAGAGAAAGCTACAAGAGCACTGAGATTAATGTAGAGGTCTTCAAGAATAGAATTCTTGAGTTAGATGACAACATGAAAAATTGATTTGAACATAGATGAAATAATGTTAGTATCAATTGCATGGGTAAATGATAGCAGTTTTCTATACATAAATATATAGATTTCTTTTAAAATAAAAACTTTGCCAAAAATATCTATCTCTATATAATGGGGTTTTGGGGTTTTGGGGTTTTGGGG